AATTTGGCCGGAAATGTTTTGCGGGTCTCTGCCAGTAAACACATAAATAGCGTACCTGCACAGGCTCTCCGAGAATATCAATAACTTCATTTTCATTTGAACCACGTGTACGCTACATATGACATGCTCACATCATCGGGAAAGTTGAGATGCTACTCTGTTTATAATATCACATGGATTAACTTCAGAGTAAATTGGGTGAAATTATTTTAAACTGAATAAGTTGAAAACCATGAAATAATTATGTAGTAATCTGATACATATTACTTTAGTAAACAGGCTCTGCATATTACTTCTTCTGTATTTTTTCTCAAGTTTTTACTCTTTTTGGGGAGGGGGCAAGTGGGGCAGAGCCTGCTCTTTTTTAGGGAGGCAAATGCCCCATGCCTCCCTGTGGTGGCGCCGCCACTGCAGAGGAATGTTAGATTGACGAATTCATTGTTACTCTAGTTTGAATTCTTAATTCTACAGTTAATATAACATTCGTCTTTATTAAATCAAGATACTATGAGTGAAGAAAAACCTACCTAAAATTTAAGAGCTTTGCCATTTCCGAGAGAAAAATGAACATTGGTCCAGTGATGAAAACGCAGCCATCACCAGAAGAGTTTTTCAGCTCCACCAACGGTCTCCACTAAAGTTAATCGAAAAAAAAAGGTTTGAAAAAATAAAGACTGGGAATTCAATATATAATCTTTAATGAATTTAGTTATTTCCAAAATAATACACAATGATAGAGAAGCTTAATTTTGTGCCAGCGTTTTTAATCATTTAACAATTTAAATTTTATTTAGTTTTATTCTAACTGTCAAATATGTTTAAGCTAGTTTCAAGACAGTGAGTGAATCCATAAAATTTCGAAAGTTTCAGAGCTTCATTCCAACAATATGTCTTTTATTTTAAGGTTTGTCAAAATGTTTAAACGATTTTATGGTTTATTAGGTTGTCACTCAAATTTATTCATTGATGCTAAATAAACGATGCCTTTTCGTTTGTTTAACTAAAACAATTAATGATTTGAATGCCGAATCTGTCAAATTCGAGCACTTGTGAAAATTGTTAGAAAGGATTCATAAAGATATCGTCACTGAGTATAAGTTTAATATGCATATAAATGATCTGACGTGATGAACAATTTTTACTTTCTGTAAAAAAATACGGCTCTTGTTTATTTTACCTCTTACGTGTATTTCAAATAGAGCATATCGTCAGTTGTGATTTCCTTTTTTCCACATGTTCTAAGTTGTTAGATTTTGTTTTGCTATGATTAAAGTGCATTATATTTAAGATTTCAACTACGAAAACAAATTTAATGTGTTAAATAATTATGTTTCAAGTGGCTCAGCAGTGAGTTTAAGATCCTATAGAGCTAAAATTCAAGTTCGATCTCTGCGGTGGCTACACTGCAGATAGCCCATTGTGCAGCTTTGCGCTTAAACAAACAAACAATAACTGTTTATTGTACATGTTTATTAGAATCTTAAAATAACCTAAATAAAGCCATCTGACTTTATAGGTAAATGACATATTTTAAACAATAAACACTGAATATACATAGATATCATCACGAAAGGACAAAACAATAAACATATAACGAAGATTTTCAAATTATTTTAGGTCGTCAAGAAATTATTGTCGCGTTTTGGAACACTTTAATTAACCATCCCCCAAAAACGTACATAACATATAATAGTTAAACGAACCGCCTAACCATCACGTTTGTGTTGCCTATATAATGTGTGAAGTTTAGTACACTCTAATCCCTTATAGTGA